AGAAAATTTGTTGTTTTTAAATTTTTTATTCATATTTGTAGTACGTAATGATTAAATTCCTTGTGTGGAGTTGACACATGTATATAACACATCTTTATTCTTTTCTACGCCCTTCTTCCCTGCCCTCCTTCATTTTTCTCTCCATCTCTTTCTCCTCTTCCCTTTTGCAAAAGTTCTACTTCCTTGTTTACTATTATCTACCTTTTATTTTTCTCTTTATTTGTACTTTGGGTTCTCATATAAGAAACCATGTAATATTTAAATTTTGTTCCTGATTTATTTCACTTAATATTATAGTATTAAAGTGCATACATTTTCCTACAAATGACTCAAATTTATTCTTCTTTATGACAGAGTAGTACTTCATAATGTATAAATAACATGTTTTCTTTATCCATTCATCTGTCCATGGACATATAAGCTACTTCCAAGATTTAGTTATTATGGATTGTGCTGCTACGAAATGAGTATGCAGATATCACTGTGATATGTTACCTTTAACCCTTATGGGTAGATGCCTAAAAGGGGAATAGCTGGGTCAAATGAAAGTTCTGCTTTTAGTTTTTGAGGACTTTCATAGTGACTGTAGTACTTTAATTTAGATAGTACTTTAATTTGTATTCAGGTAATGCATGAACTCAGTATAATTCAATAAAATAACAATCGTCTTTACCATGATGCATTAGAAAACTTTTCATGATAAAATAAATATGCAAAATAATCAAGAGACTTATGAAATTGAACAAATGGAGATTTGTATCATTTATATTAAAAATAATTAAACAGTATGTTACTCATGCAAGATGAATAATAGATCATCAATCCATACAAAAAAATAAAGACTCAGATATGGGTATGTCCATGTGTAGGTTGTTTATACAGAAATACATTTATGTGTGTATATAATATAATAAATATAATCTAATATAATTTTTGTACTACCAGGGATTAAGCCTAGGGTCTTCATAACCCCATTCTGTTTTAGTTTTTATTCTGCTATTTTTGAGGCAGGGTCTTACTAAGTTAGTTTCATCTTACTAAGTCAGTTGCATCTGAGCTTACATTCTTCACTTCTCAGCCTCCCAGAGTGTTGGGATTATAGGGGTGCACCACCACAGGAGACTGCCATTCTTAATTAGTAGAGGACAAAATGACATTTACTGTAAATGCCCTTTAACCCATATTATACAAGGATAGTTTTCTGATAAATAAAACATTGAAATATAATAAAATACAACTATGAAAACAGGATAATGAAAGACATTATTTCATTCTTAGATTTGATGAAAACTTTTCTGAAGAAAATGTAAAACATATGACCTAAACAACAATATTGACTCATTGATATGCATTCAAAAATATTTGCGGAGAAAAATGAATTTAACACAAGACTGAAAAATTAAAAACCAATAAAAGACTATTGGAAAAATTTGCAGCACACATAAAATGATTAGTATTGGTAATACACCAACGGTTCTGTAAATCAATAAATAACAATTGAAATGAGGAAAATTATTCAAATAGAAAAGTAGAGCAAGAGAAATGGAGGCGACAATAAAAAATAGTGTTAAACCATACTAACGATGTATACAGATAATGGGATGTTAAAATGTATTCACATATTTAAGAAAAAGACAAAGAACCAATGATTGATATTATTCTTTCAGTGAGAGTATAGACTCCTATTTTCTTTCTGTTTCATGAATTTTATTGGTAAATTTTAGGTGTATAATGACATTCATCATTGGAAATTTGCACCTTTACGTAATCTCTCTTGGTTCTTATTTTTTTCCCATTCCACTGCCCTCCCTTTAACCCCTTTATCCCTCCCTATTTCCAAAGATTTTGTTTCCATGTTTTCATATTAATTTCATTCCCTTCTTTCCTTAATTGTTTTTGAAAATGTATTGGAAAGTGAATTAGACATATTTATTAAATTGTGGAATTCTCACATACTGTGGAAAAGTAGTATTTTTTCTGAAAATTCATCCTGAAATAACACAAATGTAAAATACAGATGATGGCCTAAGTGTACACATATAGGCACTATGATTTTCATTCAGGTATAATGAAGAAGGTATTCTAAAACTAAAGGTATGTTTTCCCTAGTATGTGACAGTGATCAACAGCAAAATCCTGGTGGTTGTGTGTTTACTCTTCAGTTGTGTTACTGCCATGAGTGAGCTGCTGTACCTCTCCTCCATCTCCTTATGCTCTCCTGAGGAGAAGGACAGCCCCTAGTCAACACGCACTGTTCTCACATGGGAGAATTTTCAATGCATCTGCCAGCTACTGTTTGGACCCTTACATTTTATGAAACAAATCTACTTGTACTGACCTAGAAATGTCTTCGTGATAAATAGGGGAGAAAGTCTTCATAGGAATGCATATGGAATTAGGGCAGTTTTAAAAATCATGCAAACACATTTCTAAATAAAAACACAAATTTGTAAAATCATATACCTACAAAAAAACAAAATGCCTACAAATATACAACTGTACTTGTTAAGTGTTAACTCTTAGGTTTGGATGAAAGCAGACAAAGAGACTAAAATGTTTACAGGTTACTTTTGCTTGCCATTTTATGACCTTTTCCTTCCTATCATTTTGTAAAGAGAAAATCATTTGCAATCAATATTTTCCCATCCTTTTGTATATTCATCAACAGCAAGAGGACATTTAGTCTACAGTCCATCTAAAAGCTGTGCCAAAGATCTTGGATGTTTGTTCCTATTGCAAATGTGCCTAACATGAAAATCACTGTACTAGTAGTTAACAGGACAAGTAAGGCCTTGTTCTCAAAAATTATAATTGTTTTTATATATTAGAAACCACATTATTCCAGAAAATTACCAAGTAATAAATGCCACTAGCCCAAAGTTATTTCTACTAACTTCAAACCAACTATGTTGTGATTGCTGTTAAATTCTCATTGCTATAAACTTCTTAGTTTTCTTAACTGCATACTCTATCAGGTTACTAGCACTCAAATACTTACATTGATTGCTATCCAAATGATATACTAAGCACACAATATCCCACTACAGAATCCTCAGCAGAGGAATTAGAAACTTTCTTATAGAAATAAGCAATATATAAGTCTGACTTTCTTTATATGAGTAGAAATACTTCACCTGAGTCTAAGAAGGAATGTTTTAGATTTGATGAAGGAGCAACTAATCTACTCTGACACAAATAAAATGTATGATTATGTAAAATGCAAGACATTGTACTGGAAAAGAAATCCAAGCCCTTGGGAGAATAGGAAATAGATACCACATTTTCATGAAGCCAAGTAATCAAATATGTGTTTTAGAAAGATAAAGATTGTAGCACTAAGGATGATTCAACAGAAAGAGTAATTGGACTCTTGAAATGAAGTTGTAAAAATGACATGGAAGCAGTGGATGCTACAAAACATAAAAAAGGAATACTGAGGTGTCTCAGAGGATGCATAGGGACTGAGAAATATGTATGGCAGGAATGTGGAAGGGCTTGTTTAAAATATTATTTAAAAGTTTCCTAAAGTTATCTCCTGGAATGTCCAGCACAGAGAAAATTAATCTAGAAATTAAGAGAGAGTTCCCAAAGATGGTGATATGTATTTGAGTGCTGTCAACACTGACCTGAACATTCAAAAGTAAAGGAAAAAATGGAAACAAAGTCTCTGTAAATAGGCAAGGGTGGAGGGGGTGAAGGGATGGCAGGGAAATGGGGAAAAAATAAGAACTAAGATACATCATGTAAAGCTACAAGATCCCAACGATGAATGTAATTGGATTTTATACCTAAAATGTACCAATAAACTTAATGAAAAAAAGTGAATTAGTTTAACTATTCAGAGGGAATATTAAATAGAAAAGAGGCTATAAAATAAATTTAAAATTGTGTTTCATGAAAGGGTCAGATGAAAGAACTAGAAAAAGGATACAATGGACCGGAACCATTTAAAACATAAACAAAAGAATTCTGTGCTATATAAGGGAATACTACTTTCCACTGGTGCTGAAATAGAGAATATGTAGAAAAATTCTGAGTTTACTGGATTTAGTAATTAGGAGCTCATTACTGGGATTGAGAAAGCAATGTCAAAATACAAAGGAGAATAGAAACTAGACTGAAATAATGTCAAGAGTAAATGTGGGAAATGTGGGGGGAAATGTCAGCACAGAAAGATGATCTACAAGAGGGAAGAAATGAGTACCAAGTAGAAATTAGAAAAGGGTAATGTAGGTAAGATTTTAATGGAATTGTAGAAAAATGCAGATCAAAAGTAATGGCATCTATGAATTTTATGTTGATCAAGATGCAAATTAATAGACACTTTTAAGAAGAAAGAAGAATTAGAAATTGAAACATTAAAGCTTTTAACTTTTGTGGAAATTCATTAAAGATATTCAAATGTAGCTCTTTTTTTAATAGTCTTAGTTGTCTTGTTTACAATTACAGCAACAGAATAAATGGTTTTAATATTGATGTCTCTCAGCTGTACTATTATGAGTCCTTGGATGCTTAATAAATAAAAATAAAAATGCCTTTTGATTACTTAATCAATCCAAAGCTTCACTCCTTTGTAGATATTTATTAACATAATATTGGGTAAATATACCGCTCTGTAATTAAAACAACCAATTTGCATTCGAAGGACAGTTTATCATGCCTCACACTTTAATTTGTAACTAGTTTTCAATGTATATTAAAAATATCAAGCTTGGGGGCCAGGGATTTAGCTCAGTGGTTCCACCTCTTGCTTTGCAAGCACAAGGTCCCGAGCTTGATCCCCTACCCCCCAAAAAACAAACAAACAAAGAAAATCAAGCTTGTGAATCTTTGGATGGAACACTCTTAATTTTGATAACTGATATTAGAATACCATAAAATACATTTTGATGTGATTTTCACAGTTTAATTTTGGTTTTCAAGTCTACTGAAAGGAATTTTATTCCTAGGATTTTGCATGTGGTAAATACCTAGCTTTTAAATTCCAATTTCTCTTTTAGTGAAAACGTGTGGCTCTAATCTTCAAGGACCAAGTGGTACCTTTACGTCTCCCAACTTTCCATTCCAGTATGACAGCAATGCACAGTGTGTCTGGGTCATCACAGCAGTGAATACAAATAAGGTAAGGGAAAACCATCGGTGATTAAAGAGCATAATCATAAAGACAAGGCTAAAAGAATATGAGGAAAGTGTTGTACAGAAAATTCATAACTGGGCCGGGGATTTAGCTCAGTGGTTCTGCCATGTGCCTCGAAATTGCAAGGTCCCAAGTTCGATCCCCAGTACCAAAAAAACAAAAACAAAACCCAGAAAATTCATAACAAGCATGATTTCAGCAATATTTTCTCCCTATGCATTTTATGAAATAAATTCATGTAATAAATTAGGAAACAAAAATAATGCATCTCTCTTTTCACTTCTAACATACAAAGGAAAAGGCAGATTACAAATGAATTCGTACTGAGATATATCCTCGAAGGAAAAAAGAACCAAGAATAATGGCTTTTCACTTGCTATCTTCTTGCTTGGCACATTATTCAGATACTTCATGTTTTTGCACATACCTAACTTTCATTTTAGGGTTTTTCTATTGCTACAGGGCACAGAGCTGTTTATTAGAAATAGCACCTTTAATTTATTCTGCACTAGTAGAGGACTCATACTGTAGATATTCCAAAAAGATGCCTTGCCTTTCTCTTTGATTCTAAGATGAGTAGTACATTTGAATATGTATGTGCCAAGATCCTTCAAAAAATTATAACGCTGAATGAATACAAAAGCCATAGAAAAAATTAGTTTTCTTCTCTTGCTCTTGTTATCCTGCTTCTCCTTGTGAGGTGTGTTTTTATGCTGATAGAAAGGACCTAAATACAAAGAAATTAAATTTCTCTTAGATCTTCAGATTCTGTGATGTCTTCTTTGAGTTAGATTTTAAAACGTTTTAGGGGTAAAGGCCATAAAATTGGTTTAGATTGTGTTTCACACACTGATTTATAATTTCTTGATAATTTTAAATTCTTTAATCTCTGTAGTTGGGTTTATCCCTGAAATGTGAATAATAAAAGCATGAATTTTAAGGATTGTTGTGAGAAGCAAGTATGATAATACATACAGAGTGCTTTATAATACTTAGAATATGTTACATGACTTTTGTAAGAGAAAGTATGTACTCTCTCCTAGAAGTATTTGTAGTTTCCATGAAGTTCTTCCCATCTAATGCTTCCTGATGGAGGCTTGGTGAAAATCTACTCACTGGTCAATTAAAGTTGCTTTCTAGAAGAGCCCTGATTGATGAATTTTAAAAGCAAGTGAGCAAGCAAACAAGCAACCAAGCAAACAAACACACAAACATACATCAGAAACCTAGGATTCCATAAACTTGAGAAACTCACTAAATCAAACCCCCCAGCTGCAGAAAGGAAATCATTCTTTCCATATGACTTATGTCATGAATTCAATGCGAGACAACAAATATTTATTTAATCATTTTTCTGTGCAAATTTTTGGTCATTCAGAAATAAAAATTGAAGATTTTGAGCAATAATCTCACATTTATTGAACACTTAATGACATGTAAGACACTACTCTCAGCATGTTTTTTTTTTCTCTTTGAGGCAGAGTCTCCCATTGTAGCCCATGCTGGCCTCAAACTTGTGGCGATCCTCCTGCCTCAGCATCCCGAGTGCTAGGATTACAGGTGTGCACCACCATGCCCAGTTCAGCATGTTTTCAAACTGCTTTTAAGAATTACTTTATCCTCATAAGTTTCCTATGAGGGAGATATTTCTATTGGTGTACAATATAGATAGCTGTAAATAACTTGTCTAAAATCATATAGCTGTAAAGCTCAGGGGTGCATACTTTATAAGATACAATGCATGTACAAAGATGTATCACATTAAGATATTTCTTTCATTAAAATTGAAATAAGCATGAAATAAATCCATTATAAATTATGGAACAAACACATCATATTAATCTCATAAAGACATAGAAATCTTTTTGGGTCATGGCAATTACCTATAATTATCATCAAAATATGGAATTATCTAATGTTTTGTATCTGTTTAGTAAATTTAAATCAGTTTCTTTTCTGAGCTATCTGAAATTTCACAGAGGTTGTCATATATCTCCTTGTTTATCTTCTCTACTCTGCAAAACTTTTTTCTTTTTCTCCTCTCAAAAGTCCAAATTATATTCTAAGGAAGACATATTTTAGTTTTATTTCTTGAAACTTTTATCAAACAAAGGAATGTACACATTAACTTTTGACCATTTAGTTTATCTCTGTTTTGCTATAGAATTATTTTCACTAATATTTAAACATGATCCACAGTAAGAAGTATATTTTATGTAGTGGACCAGTTCAGACACACACACACGAGTTACATACACACCTACACACAAAACATTTTCTCATACTAAATGAATGTACTTCTCCATTATCCACTCTAACTGATTCTAATTTATTGTTGATTTAAATATTGGTCATACTTCACTACATCAATTTCACAATGCGCTAAAAGACTATACATATATTTTGAAAAACACTTTAGGGAGTACTAACTTTCATAGGTTACTACTTTAGAACCCTTTCCAGAAAGCAGCAAAACCTATAGGCACATAGCTGTTCTACTTGGTATAAATCACAATTAATTAAACAAGATGCTTAATCCCTGGCTATGTATAATTTTCATCAATTGCTATTCACATTTATCTTTACATTTGATCAGTTTTTTTTTTTTTTTTTTTGGTACCAGGGATTGAACTCAGGTCCCTCTGCTTGCAAGGCAGGCGGCAGAACTGCTGAGCTAAATCCCTGGCCAACATTTGATCACTTTTAAAACAATCATAGTATCACAAATATCCCAGATAAGTACATGGTTGATTGCAAATACCTGAAATTTGAAAGTGAAAGAAACTGATTCAACTGGTTCATGTCTATTGCATACAAACTATACAACTTAAGCCATAATCATTGAGTCCTATACCATAGTTTTTCTTTTTCATGTATTAGAGATCATAATACCATATAATAAGGTTTTGTACTGATTAGATAATGAAATAAGAAATTGCTGATACAAAGTAGGATCACCTAACATCATATTATTTCCAAATGTTCTCACCTTGTCAAGAAACACGCTTCCCGTCAGTTGTTGCATTTACCTTATAAATACAGAAATAATAATTACATACTTGATTATGAGGTTTAATAATTTATAGCTGTCTGTGTTTTTGCTAACATTTCAAATCATTAAATTATAATTGTTACTGATCAGTTTATAAATACTGCAATTAATTTCACTAAAATAAAATATAATGGTCACAATTTTATAATAATATACATTTTTCATATTGCTTCATGACTCTTCCACAAGCTTCTGTAGCATTTGAATGATGAATAAAATTCACAGTTGCTTCGGAGCAGCAAGTTAAAAATAGAACTGCTCCTTTTTAAAATTTTTTTTTGGTACTAGGACCTTGTACCTGCAAGGCAGGCGGTAGAACCACTGACCTAAATCCTCGGCCCAGAACTGGTACTTTAAACTGGCTATTGAATTAATTGCTTTTGAATTAAGAAATACACTCAGCATTAGATCCTGGTGTGAAATGAAGACATGAAAACTTGCTTGTATGTGTTCTTCTCTACCACTTTCCTTTTACAATTTTTTTAATTTCAAAAAGAAGCCATCTATTACCTTTCTAACTATAATATTAAAATATTACATTGATTGCATATAAATAAAAATGGAAACTCTGTTGAAAATTTCAGATTCATAGATTTTAAGGGAGAGTTCTTAAGAACTAGGAAAAGAAAAGGTCTTCACTAAAGTGAAAAATATTGTATAGATGCAGAAAATTCATAAAAGTACTCATGTGTTTATCTAACATCCATTCACGTACATTTTTTATTTTTATTTCTGTAGCTAATGCTATACCTAGTTCAATTTATGATACATAGAGAGATATTACAGATTATTTTAAATTGAAACAAAAAAGCTGAATTGTTTAGGCAATTTCTGAATTGTTTAAATTTATGGTTTTTCCATTTGTGGTGGATATTTTCTGCCAACTGAGCGTGCTTGTGCTACAAGTTTTGAGGAAGCTCAAACTTTTTGTAAAATTAAAGCAGAATAAATTGCATCCTTTGCAGTTTTTTACAATTAGAATCTAAAAATAAATGTGAATCCAAAATGTAATAAAAATTTTTAATTTTTTTTAACTCAAATATTATCATTTCAACATATAATTGGCTTAACAATGCAATAATTTAATCGTTTTTCATTCTTAATCTGAAATTTAGCGTGTACTTAACATTTTCTGCACACATCAGATCAGGCCAGTCATATTTCAAGCTAACATTCACATTCTTAGTGGCCACCATATTCGTATTTCACTCGCCATAGAGAGTTTTATGGATCACTTGGCTGTGGAGAATATGAATGATGATGATAATGATTATTCAGAACAATAAATGCTGCTTTATGAGGTAATTGCTTCCAGTGAAATTTGTATAGGGAAAAGAGAATGTTCCGATTGGCAAGAGTGATTCATAAGACTTGTGCTTTTAGGATTTTCAGCTCTTATCACAGAGCATCAAAAGGTTTCTATTTCAAATTTTAGGATCCCTTTCTTTCTCCAAGAACAGATAAATGTTTGGCTAATTAGATAAGATAAGGTACTAGAAATATGACAGTCTCTGTGCAACTTAATGTTACTAAGCGAGGAGAATGATTTAAAGATCATCAGGGGCTGTAACCCTGTCACTAACCCTTGGTCCCCTGTCAGAACTCTGTTTTGAACCCTTTTTACCTAATATTTAATGTGAGCTTTATTACACCCCTTAAGGTGTAGGTATAATTATTATCCCATTTTTCATTTAAGGAAACAGATTCAGGGAGATAGAGTGATTTTCCCAATGTTCAAATGTGACTTTAGAGCCAGAATTCAAAACTAGGCACTTGGACCTGTGTTCGCCCCACAGTCTTCCTTGTTTCTTCCTCCCCGACGTCTCCCTGGGCTCTCTCCTTACTTCAATACATTATTTCAGCTTTTCCTTGCTTCCATGACCCTATGTCTTTAAAAATGTATAAATATGCTTATGCCTGCTATATTAATTTT